ATAGACTGTGCCCAAGCAAGATAATTTGTCCCATCTAGCTTGATTGTGGTTACACCTATCAAAACGGAATCTACCGAGCCAAGGCCTGAAACCGGCACTTGCTTGAACTCACTTCCGTATGGCTCCATTAATCAAACGAAAATCAAAGAACCAGAAATTTTGTCTATATAAACTTACTTGAAGTCAAACCAGAATCCAGATGCTTGAAAACTAAGGTTTTACTCCATCCAGTTGTTGGGGAGGAAGAGAGAAGATGCAGCCGCTCCTAACAGAACTTCCCAATTTCTTCCAAACCTGAACCGCCCTCCTTTAGGAGTCACAAGACACCTCCCAAGCATAGAGCACCATATCCAAAGCTTCACCTTTACTTGTACCTTCGAAAATCTCTAATCGGCTAGGGTTTTGGGCAGCAACAGAACAACAACGCTTCTTGGCAATATCCATCCAGATTTAAATTCTCCAAACCCTCTACCAACTAGGCCAAAGATCCTCTGAACTATAGAGAATCTATCTCTCCATACACTCTCTTAATCTAAGGGTGTATGGGAAAAGAAGAAAGAAAAAAAGGAAGAAATAGACCTGCTCTGATACCAAGATGTAAATCAGTCCTCAAATATTAGGTGTAAATTTGAAAATTAGAAGAAAAAGGAAGAAGAGAAGTAAGAGCAACAACACAAGAGAAGAAGATGGCGAAAAGAGAAGGAAGAAGAACAAAGAATCGAATTATCTTCCCTTTCTCCTCTAATCCTTTTTTATTAAGAATTAAAGTTAGAGTAATGACAAGTATGCCCTTAAGTGGGCGGCCAGCTAGGCAGTAACATAAAGAAATTAAACAAAAAGAAATAACAGGCCCATTAAGAGATGCCCATTAGCCAACAATAAAAGAAAAGATATTACAAGAGAAGATACTAGGACCCATTCGGCCCAGTCTCTTTACAGTTTCCATCTCTTGGTGCTGATTTTTAATTAGTTTTTTGATAGTAAATGATGAGCTTTAGTTGGTGTTTTCTTTTAGGAAAAAATTTATTTTATTATAAAAAGGCATTTAACTGCTGTCAACTTGATGGCTTCTGCATGTTGCTTGATTTTGATATGATCTTATTTTCTTTCAACTCTTTCTTACTTTAGGTGGTGCTCTGAAGCCAACTGATGTTGATTCGTTGTGGGTTCATGTCACATGCGCTTGGTTTCAACCTGAAGTTTCTTTCTCTAGTGATGAGAAAATGGAACCTGCTGTTGGGATCTTGAGAATTCCATCAAATTCTTTTGTAAAGGTACAACCCTTTCAATGCTACAAATGCTTTATAAACTATTGGAATTTTTTATTTCTAAAGAAAAAAAGATCATGAGTATATGGTGGCGATATATCTAAGTAGATGGATAAATGAATCAATACTTTTCTTTATACAAACAATTACCTGAATATTTGAAGAATGTGATATTAACTGGTCATTGGTTTGCCATGGATGTCAGGTCTGTGTGATTTGCAAGCAAATGCATGGTTCCTGCACTCAGTGTTGCAAGTGTTCTACTTATTATCATGCAATGTGTGCATCGAGGGCAGGGTATCGCATGGAGGTAAGTTACAGAATTTTGTTTGTATGCGGAGTCAAGGTATATTTGCTTTAAGTTGTTTGGAATGGTGTTTTAAAATGTGTTGGAAGCGTAATCCTGGAGCAGTCTCCCGGCAAGGTGCTAGGAAAAGGCTCTTAGGCATACCGTGGAGGCATAAAACACCTCCTTTGCACTTTATATTGTAAGCGTATGCTTCATGGGTTGTCCCTTTTAACTCACTTTTTGAACAATAAAAGGGTTATAAATATTGAGGGGCTACCATATTAACATGCTCCTCATCATATATTAACAACTTAGCATCATAGAAAGGAGGGGAAATCCTCCTTTCCCATCAACCATTTGTCTATTTGAATTTGGCAATTGGATATTAAGCTTTATGGATCGCATCATGCTTAAGTATCACTTTCTTAAATTTGAATGTGATGGTTTTTTAATTAGATATTACAACTATAATTTTTTCAAGGTTTTCCTAATTTTTCTTTTTTTGGGAACTAACCTAATTTTTCTATTTATTTGCTATTATTTTGAATTGTTTTTTAATTAAGAAATATAAGATTAGGTGGCTTGCACCTGTTCTTTGGTTTACGCCTTGCGCCTTAGGTTAGTGAAACATCTGACGTCTTGCCTTCACATTTTAAAACCTTGTTTTATAGTGGTAGATTATCTGTGTGGGTTATCTATACATGCCTAATTATTGGTTGATACTTTTGTACAATTTTCAAGTTAAAAGTGAAACTTTGGAAACTTTGTAAAATTGATTCTGCAAGCAATTAAATGTTTTTTTTTTATTGGAGTGTGAGTGCAATGTATTTTGATGTTTATGTTGCAGTAGGGAGATGCTTATTAGTTTTCTTATACTTGTTAGAGTTTCATTGATTTTGAAATTCCTTATTAAGGGCCCGTTCGGTTTCCGGGAATAGGGGTCCAGAGTTGGAATCGGAATGGTTAGGTGGAACCAGAATCCAATTCTCATTCCTGGTGGAATGGCATTACCCCATTTAAGGGAATGGCAATTCCCTCCCCCTCCCTTGGGAATGAAATCCCATTCCAGCTGATTCCAATTCCCATTCTGAGTCCTGTCTCAACCAAACAGACTATGGGAATAGACCATTCTGATTCGGGCTGCGAAGTAAAGGGACCCTAAGTTTTTATATAATCTCCAATCCTGTCCTTTAGGGTTAAAAAGTTCTTTTCTAGTTTATGTTTTTTTAATCAATTCTCTGACCTTTTCCTACTAGTTCAATTAATGACATTGTTGGTCACCTATAAGGGCGTAAACCATATACAAATTGAGATGCTGGTGACTTCTGGTCTTAACTAGTTGAAAAATTCAATCTTTTGAGGCTTTTAATTCTTTACCTGTTATTTATATATCAGTAGTATAGAGTTGCATTGAATTTAATATTGTGTATTTGTTGAAGAGGTTAGATGAATACTTTGAAGATTCATTGAATATATTTTATTTTCTTACTGGTTCTCCCAGTTTCTTCAAGTTCACAATGACACCGAATCAGTTGAAAGATTCTTGTATCTGTGTGTGTGTGTGTGTGGTTATCATGCCATTTCATTCTGTTTACACTGTTAAAATTACAGTTGCATTGCTTGGAGAAAAGTGGGAGGCAAATTACAAGAATGGTCTCATATTGTGCTTACCACAGGTAATAGTAATATGCTTCATCATTGCACATTTCATCTATTTGTAGGCGGGGAGATGGCTTCTTCCAGCCTTCCCTTGGGTTTTGAGACAAATCCCACTCACATAGGATTGTGTGAACATAAATGAAATGGGTTTTTGTAAATAAACATGTACGAATTCTTTTAGGACTTGGAGCCTATATTTGACATGTCTCAAGCGTTACATTATTAAATAAGGACAAGGACACCCTTATACCTTATGCACAAAATAGAACTAGTAATCTTTTCTACCATTGCCTCAAGCTTGCCATGGTCTAATTTGGTCTTTTCTTAATTTCTTTTTTTGGGTCACTCCAATATCTGGTAACTGAAACTACCTTTCATTTTGATAATCTGCATTTTGTCAATGCCATATTCGACATTTTTCAAATGTTACTTCTTTGCACCCGAGGCGCAAAAAATACAAAAAAAAAGCTAAAAAATAAAAGTCAGTAAATTCAAAACAATGCCAAAAAATTCAAAAGAAAATGCAAAAAAACAAATATTAATAAAAATATAAACTTAAATTTTAAAATAAATGTTTTAAAAAACCTATTATCTACAAGGGCAGAAATACTAGCTGTTGTACAGGGGATCCAGATTGCCAACCAGCTTGGGGTGGAACATCTCCTAGTTGAAGGGGATTCTCAGGTGGTAATAGGGTGGCTTCTAAACCCGGATGCTACCATTTGGGGCTACAAAGACCTCATAAAAAAAGTAAAGTGGTTAACCAGTAATATGAGAGTTGAGGTTAAATGGGTAAGCAGGTCGGCTAATACTATGGCTGATTCTTTGGCCAAACAGGGGTTTCCAGGGAAGGTCTTTTTTGTGCTACATTGTAACTTGTTATAGTAAATTGGAAAGCTGTACTTAACTAGCTTGGAGAGGTTGCATCTCATGCCTCTCCTTGAGGACCTTGTACTATTTATCTTTGTTGATTAATAAATTTCATTCAATTATCATAAAAAATTAAAATACATAAACATAACATGTAAAGCGTATTCAAATGAAAATTTAAAAATAAAATCAAACATATAAAACATTTTCAAGCATGTAAAACCCACAATCTCTTTTTCTCCTCAATTGCATTACTTCAAGTAGCTAATGTGATGTACATATTACATTCCTGATTCTACGAGCTGCCTTTGTGCAAGGCCTCTTGAGGCAAGCTCAAACAAGTTCATGTTAGGGTCCTAAATTCTTAGTTTTCACACAAAAAAATAATGATTTTATAATTTTAATTGCATCTTAAGAAGATATTTTATTAAGATGAATGCGCCTCGCCTATGTGCCTAGGTGTGCCTTTTAAATCACTGGAATAGAGACATGGATACCCATGTGCTTTATGCACAAAATAGAACTAGTAGCCTTTCTCTGCAATTGCCTTCTTGCCATTGTCTAATTTAGTCTTTTCTTCATTTTTTTGGGTCAGTCCAATGTGGTGGTATACCTGCTAGCTGTTGACTTTAGTTTCCATTCATTTTTATAGTCTACCTTTTGCTATTGGACCTGAAGTTGCTCTAATCTTCAGTGCCAAACCTCTTATAGTCTTATGGGATGTTGAGATTTATGTGTACCATTAAATCTGGTTTTATCTTTCTGCGAAGCATATGATGTGTATTACATGCTTATCAAGGTTTCATGACTTATCTTCTATTTTTGGGCAGGGCCCCAAACCCAGATACTGTTCTAGTCATACAAACTCCAATAGGGGTTTTCTCTGCCAAAAACCTGCTTAAAAATAAGAAGCAGAATGCTTCAAGGCTTATTTCGTCTAAGAGAGCAAACCTTCAAGAAGATTCAACCTCAGAGGCTGATCAGTTTGAGCCATCATCTGCTGCAAGGTGCCGGGTATATAAAAGATCAAAAAATAAGGTACACTATATTTGAAGTACCTTATGAATGTTTAAAAGATAATTCTATTTGTCTGAAAATTACTTATTTTAACTCACAAGCGAAGCTTTTTTTTTTCCTTTATTGGTAACTGTTGGGATTTTACAAGTATGTGAAAAAGGACGAGTTATTGCATCAGCCAAAAACAGCTGAGTCCTGTTTTCCCTTGCTTGGTGAGGGCATTCACCAAGCTATTTGCAGATCTTTGAACCTGAGAAAATGTTATTCACCAAGCTATTTTCTGACCTTTGAATTTTCCCTTGCTAAACTTCTAATCTGTCTCATTATATCGGTATTATGCTGGTTCTTGATTTTTCTGTTTCAGCCAGTCCACCACCACCTTTGAATCCTCTTCTACCTTCAAATTTCCACAACTTGTTAGCCTGGCCTTTCTTAGTCCTTGTGCTGCTAATTCAGCTCTTGTGGAGTTTCCAATGCCTATGGATTTGGAGTGCATGGCTATTATGCTTTCATGTTCATCTCTAAATACTCCTCTGATTCTTCAAATACCAGGGTTGCTTAAATTATATCAATCAAACTTTAGTTTGATTTGGTTGGCCAATAATCACGTCCACAGTGCTGAAACCTTTGGTCTTGAAGTTGAAGAAGAGGCAAAAACCTACCACTCTCTTGGGATATTATCTGTAGAGAAAGGAGAAAAGCTGTCCAACGTTTTAATTTAATGAACCCCCTTCACTGACTGTATTATTGTTTCCTTAGATTATACTTTCCATTAAAGATTGTGCTGTTTTTATCTTAAAGTCCAAATTGGTGCAGCCCTCATGCACTTCGGCATTATTTTCTTTCTTTTTCTCGGTGGATTGAAGAATAATAGTTCATAAACTTACTGTTTGGAGAGGATATTTAAAGCACCTGCTTGATAAGATGTTTGAATGTTTTAACTATGTGTAGCAATTAATGTGGTCCCAATATAGAGGGATTAAGATTGGGTAATCAAATGATTCCAACAATCCAATATGCATTCTTTTTATTGGATGTTTAGAAGAGAATGATTGATCCAGATTAGACTGATTGAATTTTTAATTTGGTTGATTATTTGCTTTGGAGATCTCTCAGTAATTGGCATTCTTAATATTGTAACAAATTTGACTTGATTATTGTGTTATTTTCATTTCTCTGCTTGTTAGCGTATGGGAGAAGAAGCAATTGCCCATCGTGTAAAGGGGCCCTGCCATCATCCTTTAGATGCAATAGAATGCCTGAACACATTTAGGGTAACCTTTTGTTATGTCATACAGGGTGTTCTTGTTTCTTTTTTCATTGACCTTCTTTGAACTGGAAACTGAAATCCATGATTTTTTTTGCTTTTTTATGAACAGGAAGATAAGGATGTTAAATCTTTTTCCACATTCAGGGAACGCCTTTATCACTTGCAGGCAAATTATACCCCCCTTTTTCATGCTTCTATCAGTAGTTTTCACTACTTGACCTTTCTCATTTTTTGTGGTTATGTTTGTGCAGAGAACCGAAAATGATAGGGTTTGCTTTGGTAGATCTGGTATACATGGATGGGGTCTTTTTGCACATCGAAATATTCAAGAGGGAGAAATGGTATGTTTTGAACCTTAAGGTGATTTCTGAAATTACATTTTGCATGACACATTCTGAGTTTTTAAGGATTGAGCCCCCCTCCCCCAACTCTTTTCTTGAGTGTCTCTGGACTTGTGTCTTTAAAGATACATTGGTCTTTGTATGTGTAACACATATTGTTTATCAAATGTGCTATATTCCTCATGTGCTATACATGCAGATATTTTATTGTTTGCCAGTTGCCACTTGCAAGCACTGACATATAAGAGCTTCATATAGCGATGAAAAAACACATGATAGCTTTATATAATATTTGATGGCTGTGGTCAGTTAACTAGGCCTCTAGTTCTATAATGCCTGTATATGGATATCCACATAGGCATGGATACAAGAAATGGGGATATGACTCCATTTCCAAGATCCCTGAGACTCTAATACAAATATGGGTTTAGGTACCCTGTTTGATATTCTTATCATGCTTTTATTATCTAATTTTCCATGCTAAGTGTTTTTTCTCAATACTAATATCTTGCCATATTTAATTAAACATCAACCATATACAGGTTTTTTAAGTATGATATACCATTTTTTTTTTTTAATTTTAAAATGTTAAAAGTTACTTGACCAGGTTAAAAGGGTCATAAATCCTTCTTGGATTCCCCCTCCTACTGGTTATATAAAGCTGAATTTTTTATGGCAGTAGCATTGGGAATCCAGGGCTACAGTATTGGGGGAATTTTGAAAATGAGGAAGGGAATGCCTTAGCCCTTTTCTCTGGCCTGATTGGTGAGGGCGACTCTCTTAGGGCTGAGATTTTAGCAGCCTTGGAAGGGATTCAGACGGCAAGAGAACTGAATATTAGGAGACTGATTATTGAAGGTGATTTGGAGGTATTGGTAAATTGGTTAAAGGAAGATAAGATTGGAATGTGGAAATACAGCAATGAGAGGAAAAAGTTCAACTGGTTGGCAAGGGATGTTGAGATGAAGTACAGATGGATGAAAAGAACTGCAAATTCCTTCGCTGATGGGCTAGCTAAGCAAGGGGTGAATAGGGACTCTTTGTTTTGGGCTTATTTCTAACTCTGTACTTTTTCTTTTCTTTGTTATGGGGGAGTTGAGATAGTTTACCTCCCTTCGCTTTTCTGTAACTTATTCTTAATTGAATTCAACAAATGTTTTGTCCATGTAGTAACCAATGTTGTATGCAGTGCATATTGCGTTTGATATATCATATATCTGGTGTACAACTTATTTCTTCCTTAGTTTTGTTTCTTCTTAAACATATCTGAATTTTGAAATGCATGTGCCTGTTTCCAGGTTATTGAGTATCGTGGTGAACAAGTCAGGCGTAGTGTTGCAGATCTGAGGGAGGCACGTTATCGATTGGAGGGAAAAGATTGCTATGTGAGTTATTTCTTTCTTTCTTTTCTATGCGAGTCAATTAATTCCAACCTTCTCTGACCCGTGAACAGTACTATTCTTGATGAAGGTTTATATTTACAAAATCTTCAATGTCATTATGTCAATTGTCATAAAGTTTTCATGAACATTTCATTGAAAATATCTGCCATTTGTGTATTTTTGAAGGCTTATAGACATAGATTTCAGTTTCATTTAAAGAAAAAATATTTTTTCAATCTTCCAACAAGAAGAGAAATTTGTGTTATACATCACCAACATATCTAAACCAGCAACATTAAAACACCATTACATAGAAAAGGAAAACTATGACTTAGTGACACTGATACTCTGATAGGTGAAGTTTAGTGTGGGACCTTAGTGGTGTGTTCTTTGTAAAGCGGATGGGGAGACTGGTTTTCACCTACTGGTGTCTTGCCATTTTGCGAGGTCAATTTGGGAATGGGCTTTGTCCCTATTTGGWTGTWGYTGRAAYCCYCCRTCAGACTTGCARGGCCTTTTTTCCCCTTCTTTTTTCAGGTGGCGGATAAAAAGGGGAAGGACATTGTGGAGAGGACTAAGGGCTGCAGTATGTTGGACACTTTGGGAAGAAAGAAATTACAGGATAT